AATATTTTTGTTAAAAAATATAAATTTTGATTTTTTCATAATTTTTAAATATTTTTTTTTTTTTTTTGGCCAGACAATGGTTTTTCCTACCCTTGGCACGAATTATGGCCTTCAAACAGCCATTGAAACCGTCACCGGCGAAGCACTTGCTTGAGGTGATCGACACTTTGGCAATTTTTTAGTGCCAACCTTGTTTTCCAAAATACTCCAGACACAATTGTCCAACGGATTGGTATCCGGAGATTTTGGTGGCCATTGTGCGCTGGAAATGAAGCGAGGAACCTAATTTTGTAATCAATCTTGGGTGGCGCGTGCTGAGTGCGATGGTGCTGAGTCCTGTTGGAATGTCCAAGGTCTGCGGCCAAAATGTTTGCGTGCCACCAAGGCTTTAATACACACTCCAGGTTACCCTCACCATGGCCGGCGCTTGAGTTCTGGTGGCCGGCCAACCGAAGGTGCAAATTTTTAGCTGACCTCTTTGACAAGTAAACACGCTCCACGATAATTTTGTTTGTTTACAAACTTCTGGACAACGAATGTTTTCTCATCGGAGACGGAGAAAACCAAATTCGGCAGTTCTCCACTTTCGGCCAAGCGAAGCAACTCTTTGGCTGTTTTGAGTCTATTTTCTTTCTGTTGCGGTGTAAGTCCTTGCACTTTTTGGAATTTCAATGGCTTTACCGCGAGCTCATTTTTCAATATTTGCCGAATAGAATATTGCGATATGTTCAGCTCACGAGCCATTTTTCGGTTACTGCGACGCGGGTTTCGATCAAGTCGCATTTTTTTCTTTTCTAACCATTTTCTGATGTTGCTGTTTTCTTCCGTCCACTTTCTTGACGTCGGGCTACGCTACCAGAATCACGGTAACGGGAACGAGCTATGGTAACGGTAACTAGCGACGACGACACTGAATACTGCAGGCTTTGTCAGGACGAGGAAGAAACTGAGACGGGGGAGCACTTACTCTGCCACTGCCCAACTCTTATAGCAGTAAGACAGAGGGTACTGGGTAAGCAAATTCTGCCAGACTTGTCCTCCCTCTCCGACATCCAGCCAGCAGTCATTCTTAAGTTCACTTCTTCACTATTCGCTATGCATTTCCTTTTCTTCTCGCTATTCTATTTTCCTGTCTTCTTAATTAGGATGAACACAATGGACCAAAAGGTCTCCGAGTAGAGTGGTTGTTTATACAAACGCGCATCCTTTAACCTAACCTAACCTTGGCTGAATGCACAATCTCGATGGTGTTCGACCAACGAAACTGCGTTCAAAAATTGCCAATGACCTCCAAGCCCAATTCCGTTTCATCTTCCCGTTCATCGTGTTCGGCCAAGTTGGATTTGGATTTTAATGATTGCCATCAATTTTTTGCAGGATCGGACCTAGGCCAATCATAAAATGTGTTCAGTTCATTTTTAAGTAATTTTCCTCCAGATTTTAATTTGAAAAGCGTTTTTTTATAATTAAAGAAAAAAAAAAAAACATCCACAATTAGACATCGAAATTTTCTTAGCCCATACATACATACATAAATAATATATTATACAAGCATACAACTAAATATGTGTTAATATTTCAATGTATATATTTAAAAAATTAAAATATGTTCTTTTTTATATAAAAAAATAAATACTTTAGTTATTCGAAAAAAATGACTGATTTAATAAGAACAAAAAATGAAAATACCAACATAATTAAGTTCTTTGACGATAAAAAAACAAACAAACGTATTTTTGGCAACATTTAATATTAAGTTAAAATAAAAAATGAACAAAAAAACATTTCAAAATTATAGTTAAAAAAAGAGGAAACATATTTTGTAAAAGAAGGAGAAAAGAACAAAAGTTTAGGAAAGACAAACAAATATTTTTGGATACAACACAACATTTTGGCTTAAAATCGGGGAAGAAATTAGAAAAGGAACCAGGAAAACGTAAATTTATTCCAATATTTTTAAGAACCAAAAAAAAAAACAGTCAAAGAAATCAAATTGTGATCAAAACAAAAAAAAAGAAAATTATATTTAAAATTGTAACGTGAACACATAAATTTTAGGCAAAGCATAACTGAGAAAAATCCAACAACAAAAAAACTGAGTTTAAGACATAAGTTTAAAGTTTATACTTTTTATTTAAAAAATATTGAATTTTCTTTTCAATTTTTTTAATAAATGTGCTGCAGAAATGGTAACTATTTAAACATTAAAAAAAAACAAAATGAAATAAAATAAGTAGTAATAATAACAATATATTCCGAAATTAAAATCTCCGTGTGCTACTTTTACTTCAAGATAAAATAAAATAAAAATGAAACAATATATAAAACTAATAAAGAAACAACGTATTTATATAAACAGAAGAAAACCGGAAACCACATGGCAGACAAGCATTTTACATGCATACATATATATGTAATAAACTAACAAACGGGACATTTAATAAAAATGCAAACATCTCTCAAGTAAATGTTTACATTTTTTTGCTAAATAAACAATTTTTAAATCCCCACATCCATTATCATCATGAATTTCAGACATAAACCAAACCAACAATAAAAAAAGACAGTAAACAAATCTGTATCAACAATTAATTCATTCTTCATTACAGACTTTGAATATTACCATAAAACAGGTGAAAATAAATCACATTCATGTTATTTTCATTTAATATTTCATTTCCTTTTTTTTTTTAATTAATAAAATAAAAAAAATACAAAATATAATTATGTGTGTTTACTTTCGCTGCTGGCATGTGGCTCAATAAAAAGGTTACTAAACTTAAATAATCTAGCTATGTATATCCGTCCGTCTGTCCATGTTAAATTGCAATCAAGCTATAGGTCGCAATTGTGGCCCGATCCTCACGATATTGAAAATGGTGGTGGGGCTATTGTCAGAATAGAACCCCATTGTTTTTGGAGATGATTGCAAAATATTTAGAGGTTAAAATGAATCAAAAAAACAGAAGATTTTCCTGACTTTGCAGTTGCTCTATAGGCTATAATTATGAACCAATCGACGGGGAAATCTACATGGAGTAAGTGTTTAGGATTGGGCAGAAGCCTAAGAATTTGGCCATCGGTCATCGGACAATATTTAGCGGGTAAAATAGGCCCTAACTTTTATGTAAGAAAATAAGAAAATTTCCACTAAACCGCGAATATTTTTTACCCCAGCCAAATCACAAATACATTTAAAGGTTACTTCTGACCATTAAAATGTTGCTGATAGCCAAAAAATCGGATATATAGCAAACTAGGAACAATATATATGTAAAAGAAATAGATCTTATTTATTCTGCTTATAAGACAAGAACCGTTGCGCAAATTTTCACAATTCCCCTCAATTTGGAATGGTCTCTGGCCAGAAAAGTGAGAATATCTTTTTTTCTTCAATTTTTTGTCATATTTTTGTTGTATTTTTAAATTATTGCATTTATACTCTCAGCCATATGGCTAGAGAGGGTATATATCATTTAATACGGCCAAAACGTGTCTCATCGAAATAATTGCACCGAAAGAGAAAGGATAATCCGATTTTGTTCCAACTTTGCAAATCCTAATATTTGCATCAGTGCTAAGTCAGGTGCGCAAATGGACAATATAACTCTCCCACATATCTGCTACCATCAAATACAACTACATCCAGTACCTCCCCCACAAAGGACCAAAATTTTGAATAATTATAAAAACGTCCGATTGTCTTCAAATTACACACGTCACAATAGTTTTATTAACCCAAGGTCTGGCGTGAAGATGAAATATATCGGCGCACTCTTTCTCCCCCCACAAAGGACTCATAATTTTGAATGTCCACGGAGCTCATAAAACGGGAAATTAACATCCGATTCCATTCAGACTTGTACCATCTCAATATTTCCATCAACACAAGATCTGTTATAAAGATTGTAGAGATCGGAGAATTTCATTTTGTACCTCCCCCACAAAATGTCAACATTTTCAAATAAAATAATTTATTGCACCGAAAGAGAAAGAATAATCCGATTTTGCTCCAACTTTGCAAAACTCAATATTTGCGAAAATGGACAATATGACTATCCCACATATCTGCTACCATCAAATATCTCTCCAACAAAGATTCAATGTTTTGAATAACAAAAACGATCATAAAATCCGAAACAAGCATCTGGATATCTTTAAATTACACACATCACAATATTTTTATTAACCCAAGGTCTAGTGTGAAGATGGAATACGCCGGTCTACTCCTTCTTGTACCTCCTACACAAAGAGTCAAAATTTTAGATATTCATGAAGCTCATAAAACGCGAAAATAACATCCGATTCCATTCAGACTTGGTACATCTCAATATTTGCCTCAACACAAGATCTGTTATAAAGATGGTACAGATCGGACCATATCTTCTGGTACCTCCCCCACAAAGGGTGAAAGTTTTGAACAACCAAAATGATCATAAAATCCGATATATGCATCCTGTTTTCTTCACACATCCAAATAGTTTTACTAACGCAAGATCTGTTGTAAAGATGATATATATCTTCCAACCCCTTCTGGTACCTCACCCACAAAGGGTGACAATTTCCAATACTTATATCTGTCATAACCTGCAAAACAAGTTGGCGATTCTTTACAACTTGCTATATCTAAATATTTTTCTTAACCAGAAATCTGATGTGACTGTCTAATTTATCGAAATTAATGATTCTGCATAAAATTGGATATAAATGTTCGATTTCCTTCAAAATTTTGCACATACCAACATTTTTGTCTGTATTAGATGAAGTATGAAAATAGAAACGGACCGCTATATCTGTTAGCTCACGCATATTTCCATATTTTCCAAAAATCTGAACATATCTCATATAAAGTACAGGCAGTGGTCGATATAGTCCAAATCTGTCACGTTGTAATATTTAAATCAGTCATATGTCGGATACAAATTTGTCAACATTGGCCAATTGCTTTGAAACTTCCCCCCCCAAAAAGGTCAATACTTTGAATAATCATAACTCAAAACTGGGGGTATACATCTGTCGGCAAAACCGATTTTTTACTTGTTTTAATACATTACATTACAATTAAAGAGTACATAACAAAAAAGAAAACACTTTTGAAAAATCCACACCAGAGTTCATAGAGTTTATCATCACAACAATAATCTTGAAACCACATTCATGAGTACATAAAATTGGGGAAATTCACAAAAGACATAACTGGTCACCACTTGATGATATGGAATATATGCATATATAAACATATATATGTATCTCAGCTTATGTAAAAGTTAACCGCACACCCACTCTCCAATCAGTGCCAGGACCTTAAGAGATCAGAAGTTATTTGCGTTTCCTATAGTCATGATGAATACGTATTGATCCCGAATAACGGCTATTACCATTTTGCAAAGAGTTCGAGCGATGTATCACTTTAGCCGAACCATCAATTTGTGTTCGACCATCGGAACTGCGATATAAATTGGCAATGGCCTCCAAGGCCAATTCCGTTTCATCCTCCTTCTCATCGTGCTCGGCTGAGAGGGTTAAATCTATTTGACGTTTTACTCGAACAGCTGCTGGTCCTGTAATGGATTTGTGTCGCAGTGTGGAAGCATTGCTAATGATTACCATCGCGGCCAATAGAAAAAATATTGTATGTAAAATCGAAAATCTATTCACCGTGAGCATTATTTGAAATCTTTTGAGGTGACAGACGGGGGTGCCTATGTTCAATGTTTGAGTATTGTTTTAAGACTGATTTCATATTTTGAAAATAATCTTGAATTTTTGTTGTATTCGTCGATGTATTCGTCTGGAGCTTGATTTTCATTTTTGCTGATAACAGATCAGGGTGAATGTAGGCCATGTTCATGAGTTTCTCTCTTGTTTGTGTAAATTATTTCCCCCCATGGGAAGGTTTCGGATGTTTCATTCGTTTTCTCTCTAACTATATTACACTAAATTTTAATGGAAGCATTTAAAATAAATTGTGAATCAGGTGGGTCATGTTCACCTAATGGTACAATAAGGAGGTAGAAGATCTTCGCAAACACTAGACTATGCCCGTTTTTTGTCAAAATAATTCAAATAATATGCAACAAGTTGTTTTTATTTATTTGATATTTTTCCTTATTTTTAAGACCAGAAACGAATGTTTAGAAGTCGGGCGGCCCTACACCCCTTTGCATACAGGATGAGATAAAAAAAAACTGAAATAAAGTCAAAGGCCATAATTTTACAAAAAATGTGGGAAATATCATAAAATTTTAGAATAAGTTTAGATTTGTTCGATCTGGTCACCTTTGGCACGAATTATGGCCTTCAAACGGCCAATGAAACCGTCACACGCTGCCCGAATGTTGCACTGCGGTATTTTGGCCCGTTCCCGGCGAAGCCCTTGCTTGAGGTGATCGAAACTTTGGCATTTTTTTAGTGCCAACCTTGCTTTTGAAAATACTCCAGACAAATTTTGGTGGCCATTGTGCGCTGGAAATGAATCGGGGAACCTCATTTTGTAATAATGTGCTGAGTGCAATGGCGTTGAGTCCTGTTGAAATGTCCAAGGTCTGCAGCTAAAATGTTTGCGTGCCCAAGGCTTTAATACACCCTCCAGAATATTTTCGCGATTATATTTGGCATTTATTCTGATACCACGGTCGATTAATACGAGAGGAGAGCAACCATCGGCTGTTATGGCGGCCCACACTATCACCTTGGCCGGCGCTTGAGTTCTAGTGGACAACCGAAGGTGCACATTTCCAGCTGACCTCTTTGGCAAATAAACACGATCATTTTGTTATTTTGTTTGTTTACAAACTGCTGGACAACGAATGTTTTCTCATCGGAAAAACCGAAATCGTCAGTTCGCCACTTTCGGTTAGGCCAAGCGAAGTAACTCTTTAGCTTTTTGAGTCTCTTTTGAGGCGGTGTAAGTTTTTGCCCTTTTTAAAATGTCAATGGCTTTACACCGAGCTCATTTTTCAATATTTGCCGAATGGAATATTGCGATATGTTCAGCTCACGAGCTATTTTTCGGCCACTGCGACGCTGTTTCGATCGCTTCTTTATTTTTCGAACAATTTCAGCTGATTTTGCTGTTTTCTACCGTTCACTTAGTATCACGTAATCGGTAAACTGTACGAGACACAAAAGTTTTATTCACATTTAAATGCTGGAATGCTCTAACGATAGCCACTTGTGGTTTTCCAGGATAATATAAAGAAATCACTCTATCACGCTTGAATTTCATCACGAATTACTTTTTTTCTGGAAAATTCTCACCAAAATGCTTTTGTACGCTTTTAAACAATATAATGAGCTGTCACTGGAATAATTTTAACAGCTGTCGGACGAGTGACTTAGAAATGACAGCAGTCTGAAGTTCATCTCACCCTGTATGGTCCTCGGCAAAATATGGGATCGTAGCAAGTCAAAAAATTCTACAAAATTATTTGTTATAAATGTCTACTATAGGTTCCAGAATACACCAAAAGTCTATATCTTACCTACATGCCAGGAATTCGTAACACATTTTAGGGCTATAATCGTACTTTGTGTGAATTTATGGAAAAATCTACTACAAAGCATCATTTTCGAAGGATGACTTCAAAGACAAAAATTTTCGTCATTAAATTTTATTATAAGTCACCAAGATAAGATTTCAATTGAATATCAAAAAATTCTTACATTAATGTTCCTAAAAACTCTAGAAAACATTTCCAAATTTTTGTGATCAATTTTTCGAGTTGATACCTTAAAAGTAACATAAAATTTCATTTGCGGCCGAAGGTGTCAAAAGAAGAAATATTATATACAAAATTTCACTGTAAATCTCAGAATAAACCATACATCTAGGTACCATTGTTTTTAAGGAAATGACGTTCAACACATGTAAAAATTATGTATTTATATTTTTTACTGCTAACATTAAGACCATTCCACTCTACGGCAAAAAAAAAATCCCTTAATACTTTAGTTATTGGTGAAAGGGTTAAAGTAAGAAATATCCTACATCCAATTTCACTATAAATCGATATCGAAAGCGTCACCAACTTTTACTTTATTAAACGCTGTAAAGCACCACAGCTATATTGGCAAACATCTATTTACCAACTATATTGGCAAACATTTATTTACCAACTAAATTTAGGAAATAATCACAAAGTGCTTGCAAATAAACGGTATATTATTTATTGGGCTCTTTCTTATTTGCGCTCCAGACAACTCGCATCTGAAGCCTGCCATTATGCTGTTCAAAGTCTACATTATTCTTGGGAGAAAATATTCCATATAACAAAATCTTACAAATGTACTTTCATTACGATGAATTTCATTCACTAAACAAAAGGAAACAATTTCTAATTCACTTTAAAGTTTTGGTTCGCTGATTTGGGCTGGTGGCCAATCCCATTGCTTGGCTGGGGCAGGCTGAACCAATTTTTCCCATGGTTTCCAACCCAACATTTTGCGGGCCAATACCAATTCATTTTCAGCCTGGACAATAAGTTCTTCGACTTGGCCACAGCCAATGGCCTTCTCTAAAGAGGAGATATCTTTGTGCTGAAAGGAAAAATAACAACAAAATTAATTTAATATAAGAAAAACGATAAATACAACAAATCACCTACAGTTTCCACAGCTTTCGAACGTTGTTGGACAATTTGTTCGGTGTATTTACGGTAGGCAGCATCTTGTGGCATTTTGGCCACGGCTCTCAAAATTTTACCATACAAAGCCGATAGTGTGTGATGGGGATTGGCGGCAACGGCCAATCCAGTTAAACCGGTGCTCTGTAAGAGGATATATTAATAATTGTTGGCAGATAAGGTTAGAACATTTAAACCCCACTAAATATTTAGAAATCTAAAATACTCTGCCCTCCAGTTATGACATAACAATAACAAATACAATTCGCATAGCCTGAATATAGCATGTACGTATACCAATTTCTGTTTATTGTATATTGGGAAATAAAAGGTATTTATTCTTCAGAACTTACGGCTTTAAGTATTTTAGACATTTTTATTTAGTATTTGCAAGTCAAATTAATACTAGCAAAACTGTGCCGTGGTTGTTTCCAAAAAAATCCGATTAGACCAATTTGACAGTTCTGCTTCTTCTTCTTCTTCTCTTGTCATAATTTCTTTCGATAAATGCTCTCATTTGCTAAGTATGGGGTACATGTTATCGGTGTTCCATGGTAGAAGAAAACAGGTAGGTGATACATGTAAGCATGGTAGAATTAAGAAGGAAATGTCATGCAATTATATGTTTTCAATTGTTTCAAAATTATACATTTGATGTCTTGTTGTCATAATGTATATTTATGAATTCATTGTACATACACAAATCAGAGATGGGAACCTTTCTTCTCTGCAGTGAAATTTGACAAAGTACATTACAGAAAATGCATAGATGGGTGTACTTATTTGAAATGACTTTACCTTCTTTATTTTACTACGCATGTAAACATTGAAATGCCAAAAATATTAAAAATAAAAAATATGTATTCCAAAATTTCGGCGTGATAGCTACTTTCTAAAGCTAAAAGCTTTGGGTGTATGTCAATGACATAAAAAATATTTGATATAAAACCCCAAATATATTTTCATTCGACAACCGAATTTTCCTTTATGATATCAAAAAAAAATATAAAACTGATAGATTCTTGCAGGTTCTGGAACACAGCAATTGTTAATAAAATAGTAAAAATAATGTAACGACGTTATAACAAGTAAAAAAGCTGTGAGTTCGGCCTGTCTGAAATTTGAATACCCTCCACCATGTGAAAAGAATTTGGCAATTTTCGAAAAAAAAAAAATCCGTTAAAAATTTTGTTAAAATCTTAAAAATACCAAATGTATTTGTCATATTAGAGTCTAAACGACGACGTGGACTTGCATAGGCAACTTTTTGTCACAAGCCATTACAATATTCAAATGCCAAACTTAAAAAAAAATCCGCGAATAATGTAGCTAAAATCATCCATATAGGGAGGTGTACAGACAATTTTCTGCCTTAGGCTGTAGTATCCATTACGAACTTCAAATATCAAATTTGAAACAATTCCGATGAATAATGCCGCTAAAAATCATCAAAATACCGAATATAGGGAGGTATCGTTATATGGGGGCTATAAGAAGACGTGAACCTGCAAAGACAATTTTCTGTAATAGGATTTAGTATTCATTACGAACTTCAAATACTAAATTTGAAACAATTCCGGTGAATAATGTCGCTAAAATCTTCAAAAAAAAAAACCGAATATCGAAAGGTCCCGTTATATGGGGCTATAAGAAGACGTGGATCTGCGCACATAATTTTCTGTCTTAGGTTGAGTATCCATTTCAACCTTCAAATACCAAATTTTAAATAATTCCGGTGAATAATGTCGCAAAAATCATCAAAATACCTATTATCGGGAGGTACGGTTATATGGGAGCTATACCAAAACGTGTACCTACATGCCTCATTTTCAACACTAAAAGACCTGCAGACATAATATACATTTGAAGTTTATCAATCTACTTCATTTCGTTTGGAGCTAGAGTGATTTCCAAAGACGGGCAGAACCGACATAGAATTTTATGCTGATCAAGAATATAGATACTTTGTGGGGTCTAAAATGTATATTTCGAGGGGTTACAAATGGAATGCCAAACGCAATATACCCTCCATGCTATGGTGGAGGGTATAAGAAATTGTGTGTTTGCGGATTAATGATGAATTTCAATATAAAATCTCTTACATTCATTGGTTTATTTACATTTTCTGACATACTCTTTCCAACATTTCAGCCTAGTAAGTGCATGGCAAGAATCTAATAGATTTGCAATTTTTTTCAATATCATAAAGGAAAAATCCGCTGTCATGGCAAGAAGTTTTACATTCTTGCAGTTCTGGAACAATAATAGGTAAAAAAATCACCCAGATTTTTTTGAAGGATTGTCATCTAATTTTGGCAAAACAGTTCTCTCAGAACGAATTTAATATTTCTCTTTTATTTCTTAGTTAGCTTTTCGTTCCCCTACTTTCTGCAAAATTAACATATTATTCTTTTGTTTCTTTAAATAAAGACCGCCAATCATGGTAGAAGAATATCTGTAGACGCATAGACACAGCTGCTGGGACAATCAAATGTCAAACTAATTTTGGAATTGAAAAAGTTGAATGAAAAGTTATTTAAATTTGTAAAAAATGTTGAAATACACGAATTATAATTACCTCCGAATGACGTCGTATAAGAAAACATATAAAAATCTACTTATATTTGAAAAAAAACATTTAATTTTTTTCACATATCAATGCTTCCAAGCGTTCTTGTATTTACCTGTATTCTTCTGCCATGCCGCCAATGCAAGTGTGCATGGCAGAAGAATACAGGTAGATGCATCAAAGCTTGGGAGCATTGATATGTCAAAAAATTTTAAATGTTTTTTTTAAATATAAAGATTTTTATACGTTTTCTTATACGACGTCATTCGGAGGCTATTATAATTCGTGTTTTTCAACAATTTTTACAAATTTAAATAATTTTTCATTCAACATTTTCAATTCCAAAATTGGTTTGACAGTTCATTGTTTCAGCAGCTGTGTCGATGCGTTTACCTATATTCTTCTACCATGCAAGTGTGTGTTTATGTTTTTAACATTCCGTATGAACATGACATAAAAGACAAATTCCAAATGGCGACTCCACAGTGTGAACATCCTTTCGATAATCCACCAAATAATCTTCTTATTAGGGCATACTCTGAGAGAAACGGTACAAAAATCCAACTCTCATTCAATGAGTGCATGTTTTTTTTTTTTTCAATAATATTTAATATTTTATTGATGTCAAGTGTTATTAAGTATGTATATTTTTTTGAACTAGATGATTAAATGCAATACACTCTATACTGAAGATGTTGCATAAAAACCACGTTATCAATAAATGATTAGGCACTGAAGGAAACCCAATGTAAACATATGAATGTGAATTGTGTGTGCGTGACACCGACCGCCTGAGTTCTGATACTACACAGAGAGTGGCTGGCGATAGCACTGCAGAACCCAAAGCAATCATAACTTTATCAAGAACACACGAATAAAAGCTATAGCCAGAGCAAATTTACTCCCAGTCTGAAATAAACGTCTTGGTTTGCGGTGGTCGTGTGTGCTGGCGGAACTTCTATACCCGTGAGTAGTGAGAGTGACTGTTATGATGAAGAAGAAAAAGCTAAGAAAGTTTAGGGGGAAAACAAGTGAAATTGTTAATGAACTCTACTGCAAATTCGCAAATTCTTTGAATGTTGATGAGTGTGTGCGTATGTCGTTAATAACTGTGGAATACTGGAAGGCACTGAAAAGGGGCGTTAAGACGTGGAAACTTCAAAAAATCCAAACAAATCTATTATTAACGGAGGTCAGCATCTTTTCCACTTGACCAATGAATTGAATGAGTTTTGTGGATGAGTGTGGTGTCGTCTTTGTTGCCGTTGTTGTTGCGCTTTTAATTTTTGAATTAAAATGACGATGTCTGACAAGCAGCTGCTCATCTTCCTCAACATCTACTCACCTTGCCTGGTGCGTCTAGTACACAAACAAAATACGATACAACCGCTCATGTTGTTTTGGGGGGGAGATTTTGTTGTCTGACCGGTAGAGTACAATCACATCTTCAACGACGATGATGATGACGATGATGTTGATCATCATCATCAGCGCCACTGTTTCCAAACAATATTAGACGACAACACTGACAACGTGTTTGTTTACACACCAGCAGCAGAGGAACTATTTGATATTTGGTGGATCATTGGCCAGCAACGGAAATAACGGCAAGAACTTGTGTAAAATATTCAAATTATAACACCTAAGCTCGTTCGTACATACAAAAGTAGCCGAGAGCAAATACAACAATTATTATTGCCAGTTCATCAATTATTTTTGTTCGCAATTGTTGTGGTATTGATGAAATATAATTCAGTTGATTCGGATTGTTCTGTTTTTTTAAGTTTTGCTGACGTCAATTGTTTGGAATAAATCAAGCCTATCGATCTGTATTTTACTGTGAAATTTTATCTACTTACACTTTCGTTTTCCTTCACTGTTCCAGTTTTAATAAATAACCACAAGAACAACAACAACAAGTAGCATAATGGCTCCCCCAACTGTTCTGGTAACCGGAGGAGCTGGTTATATTGGCTCACACACAGTTCTGGAGATGCTCAATGCTGGCTACAATGTCGTCTGCGTTGACAATCTATGTAATGCATATAGTTCCGGTACAGCAAAACTACCCGAAGCCCTAAATCGTGTCCAAGAGATAACCGGAAAGAAGGTCCACTTTTATCGTGTGGATATAACAGATCGTGAACAAGTTCGATCGGTATTTCAAGAGGTATGTTGAATCAAAAAAAAAAAAATTTTTTTTTATTTATTTTATTTCTAAGTTCAGCGAACGTTCTTTGAAATTCGTCATTAATATTGAGAAGACGTGTGCGCATGTATTTATATGGAGTGGGTAATGAAAATACGTATATATGTAGTAACGTATATGTATGCGGTTCATTGACCGATATTTAACCTAATTTTTTACATAAGTAGTTTAGGTTTTATAACCGGTTTAGAAAAGTTTTTCAAGAGTATTTCTCATATGTTATATGAATATTTTTATACCCTCTGCCATATGGCTACAGAGGGTACATATCATTTGATATATCATCAGCCATATGGCTACATAGGGTATATATCATTTGAGACGGCCAAAAGGTACCCCATCGAAATAACGGTTTTTTTTTTACCCTAGGTCTCTTTGAACCAAATCCGTTTCAGGACATTTGGTGCGCACCATAACTGTCGAAGGGAGCATCCGATTCGATCTAAACTTGGTACATGGTAATATTGTTATCAAACTAAGAGCGAGTTTGAAGATGGGCAATATCGGTACAGCCCTTCTGTTACGTCCCCGACGAAAGGTCAAAATTTCCACAGGAAATATTTTACTGCACACGAAGAGAAAGGAAAATCCAATTTTGCTCCAACTTTGAAAATCCTAATCAGTGCTAGGTCAGGTGCGAAAATGAACAATATTGGTCCACTCATTCAAGTACATCCCCACAAAGGGTAAAATTTTGAATAAATAAAACTCTTATAAAATGTGATTTAAGAATCCGATTGTCTTCAATTTACACACATCACAATATTTTTATTAACTCAACTTATCCATTCCTTCTGGTACCTCCCCCACAAAGGGTCAAAATTTTGAATATCTATGAAGCATAAGATGCGATATTAACATCCGATTCCATTCAGACTTGACACATCGCAATATTTCTATCAACACAAGATGTGTTATAAAGATGGTAGGGATCGGACCACTCCTTCTGGTACCTCCACCCAAAAAGAGTCAACATTTTGAAAAACCAAAATGATGAAAAAATCGGAAATAAGCATAATAATATTTTTATTAGCTTAAGGTCTGGTGTGAAGATGGGATATATCGTTCCACTACTTCAGGTACCTCCCCCACAAAGGGTCATGGTTTCGAATAACCAAAACGATTATTAAATCCGAAATAAGTATCCGGTTCTATTCATTTTTCACACATCCCATTATTTCTACTAACACAAGATCTGCTGTGAAGGTGGGATATATCGGTCCACTCCAGGTACCTCCCCAACAAAGGCTCAAGATTTTCAGAAACCATGAAGCTCATAAAACGCGAAATTAGCATTCGATTCCATTCAAACTTGGCACATCTCAATATTTCTATCAACACAAGATCTGTTATAAAGATGGAAGAGATCGGTCCACTCCATCTAGTACCTTCCCCACAAAGGGTCAAAGTTTTGAATAACAAAAACAATCATAAAATCCGAAACAAGCATCCGGTTCTCTTCAAATTACACTTATCACAATATTTTTATTAACCCAAGGTCTGGTGCTAAGATGGAACATACCGGTCCCTTCCTTCTGGTACCTTTTCTACAAAGGGCCAACATTTTGAATAACTATGAAGCTCATAAAACTCGAAATTAACATCCGATTACATTCAGACTTGGTACATCTCAATATTTCTATTAACACAAGATCTGTTATTAAGATGGTAGAGATCGGACAATTCCTTCAACCTACCTCCCCCACAAAGAGTTCAAGAGTTCGAGATTTTGAAATAAAAAAACGCTCAAAGGTAGCGAAATAAGCATCCAACTCTCTTCAAATTTCACACATCCAAATGTTTTTGCTAGCGCAAGATCTGTTGTCTAGATGGAATATAACGGTCCCCTCCTTCTGGTACCTGTCCCACAAAGGGTCAAAGTTTTCAATACTTTTGTCTGTGAGATGAAAAACTGCAACAAAGTCTAACGCCTTAATTTTTACATTTTTTTTAAATTTTGTGCGCCGGAAATGAAGCGATGAACCTCAGTCTTTAGTGGCGCGTGCTGAGTGCGATGGAGCTGAGTCCTGCTGGAATGTCCAAGGTCTACGGCCAAAATGTTTGCGTGCCCAAGGCTTTAATTAATCCTCCAGAATATTTTCTCCATAATATTCGGCATTTATTCTGATGCCACGGTCGATTAATAGGAGCGGAGAGCGACCATCGGCAGTTATGGCGGCCCACGCCATCACAAAATAATTCGTTATATTAGCAAATTTAGAATCACCAGAATATGCAAAGCTTTGATATGAATTTGTTGCAATAACAATCGGCATTAAATGCACTATTATTATAGTTTCCTTTTTATATTATATTGCATATTTATATGACATTTTTTATTTGGCATAAATGCAAAAAGTATGCGCGTGTGTCTGTGTGGAAGTCCGACGAGCAATAATAATAAAAAAAACAAAGTACACTTTTGTATCCACTTAAGTTTTTCCCGCAGCAGATTGTGTACGTGATTGAAATGTCGATTTGGCCGACCTTAGAACAGAACATCACATTTATAGGTGAGCAAATAAATAAAAAGCAAATAACAATGTTTATAGTATCTGTGTGTGTTAAGAGATAACTACAACTGCTAAATGTAATATTTGCACAATTGCTCTTCAAGTGGGGGAATGAAAAGCCTAAAGCCTATCTATTGGTATTTTGTAATTGTAATCATTTTCACAACTATACTATGTGGTGCTATAGATATTACATTTTATATGATGTTAATGCAGATCACGATTAATAAGACATTCCTTAATTTCCATGATGCTTGGAGTGTTCAAAGCATATGTAACAATTTTAATATCAATATAAAGATATTGTACCTAAAGGGACTGTGATGAATCTTAATCAAATCAAATTGAATAATCGCTATTTAAAGATTAACAAAATTATATAATTTGTTTAACCACATGCTCTTCCTATGTTATCTGTTAGCAATTTTTTAATTGCACATTATTTCCCAGAAATGATAAGTAAAGGTACTTCAAGTATGTATAGGGTGATATGAAAAAACTGCAACCAACTTCAAATTGCTGTCATTTCTAAGCCACTCGCCCGACAGCTGGTAAAATTCTTTCAGTTACAGCTCATTATATTGTTTACAAGCGTACAAAAGCATTTTGGTGAGAATTTTCCCGACAAAAAAGTTTTTCGTGATGGAATTCAAGCGTGATGGAGTGATTTCTTTATATTTGGCTGAAAAGCCACAAGTGGCTATCGTTAAAGCATTCCAGCACTTAATTGTGAATAAATCTTTTGTGTCTCGTACCATCGCTCGTTACCGTTACGGTATCGCGTCGCAGTGGCCGAAAAGCTAAAGAGTTGTCTCACTTGTCCTGGCCGAAAGTGGTGAACTGCCGAATTTGGTTTTTTCCCATGAGAAAAGATTCGTTGTCCAACAGTTTGTAAACAAACAAAATGATCGTGTTTACTTGCCAATGAGGTCAGTTGCACCTTCGGTTGGCCACCAGAACTCAAGCGCCGGCTATGGTCATGGTGTAGGCCGCCATAACAGCCGATGGTCGCTCTCCGCTCGTATAAATCGACCGTGGCATCGGAATAAATGCCGAATATTATCGCGAAAATATTTTGGAGGGTGTATTAAAGCCTTGGGCACCCAAACATTTTGGCTGCAGACCATGGTCATTCCAACAGGACTGAGTACCATCGCACTCAGCACGCGCCACCCAAGAATGGTTAATGAGGTCCCTCGCTTCATTTCCAGCGCACAATGGCCACCAAAATCTCCGGATACCAATCCGTTAGACTATTGTGTCTGGAGTATTTTGGAAAGCAAGGTTGGCACTGAAAAATACACACTTTCACACTTTATCTATAAAATATTGCTATGGGAATGAGCTAAATGGATGTTCAAAATATTTACCCTTTGTGGCTTAGGTACTAGAAGGAGTGCACCGATATATCCCATCTTTACAGCACGTCTTGTGTTAGTTGAAACAATGTGTTGTGTGAAATATGAAAAGAACCGGATGCTTATTTCGTTTTTTATGATCGTTTTGGTTATTTAAAACGTTGACCCTTTGTGGGGTAGGTACCATAAGGGATGGTCCGATATGTACCATCTTTCTAACAGGTCTTGTGTTGCTGAAAATATTGAGATGCGCCTACTCTGAATAGAATCGGATGGAGGTATTTGATGGAGTGGACTGATGTTTTTTGCACCTAGTATTGATGCAAATATTAGGATCTGGCAAGCTGGAGCAAATTTGGATTATCGTTTCTCTTTCTGTGCAGTAAAACATTTTTTTTTTAAATTTCGGCCCTTTGTGGGGTCCGATATTGCCCATCTTCGAACTCGATTTAAGTTTGATAATAATATTACGATTTACCAAGTTTGGACCACCAGCCAGATAGTCGGAAATCGCTAGATCGACTGTCCTGCAACAGATTTGGTCCAAAGAGACCTAGGGCCGTAAACTGTTATTTCGATAAGGCCCGTTTTTACTATATCAAATGAAAATATTTTTTTGAAAATTTCGACCTTTTTTTGTGGACGGAACCGAAAGGAGTGGACCGATATTGCTTATCTCCGAACTCGATCTAAGTTTAATAACAATATTACCATGTACCAAGTTTAGATCGAATCGGATACTCCCTTCGAGAGTTATCGTGCGCACCAGCCAGACAGACGGGAGGACGGACATCGCTAGATTGACTCCAAATGTCCTGAAACGGATTTGGTCCAAAGAGACCTAGGGTCTAAAATCGTTATTTCGATAAGGCGCTTTTTTGCTGTATCTGTAGTCATATGGCTGAGGGTATAAATAGCAAAAATGTGTAACAGAAATTGGATAAAGTATGACATTTCTTTTTTCGAATTAGTCAAACTGAAAATTGTGGAACGCATTGAATATTATGACTTTCATTTTTTTGTTTAGCGAAGAAATACATTTCTTTTCGTTTTTCAAGTAATTTTTAATGCAGTAACAGTGATAAACAAATAGTCCATGATAACAAAAATGTCTTGAGTAAAGAATGTCTTATCTCGAGTTCTTTTTTACCCTCACTTTCAATACATACCAATTGTGTTGGTTTTTTTTAACACGTATGCAGTACATGAGGAAATGTAGATATCAAGTGTGACGTTGTCGGTAGTTTGTTATATGTTTATTTGCTCATGAAGCAATATTATGGACCCACAAAAATATACAATCAAACTCAAGCAATGCCAACCAATTTCTTTCCTTTAAAAAAAAAAAAAAAAAACAAAAAAAAAACAAAAAAAGAACATATTCAACTGTAAATATTTGCTATGTCTATGTTTCCTGTTTCAGAAGGGGAACTTCCAACTGAGTTTCAAAAAAAAAAAAAAAGAACTGAAAAAATATTTATCTAATGACATTTTATCTAGCTAAAAATAAAACTTCTTTTGTAATTCTTTCACTGTGGAATATTGAGAAATGATTTTATCAAACAAGATAATAGATCTAATTGATAATTGATATTGAACTTTTTTAACATTACTCAGTATTACAAATCATTTCAAAATGCACAATTACATCAATACGTATTTTCATTGACAATTCGAAATATATTAGCCGCAAGGCTGATAGTAATTTTGAATGAAAGAACCAAGGCTCCAGGCCTACATACAGCGTGAGATAAAAAAAACTGCAACAAAGTCAAACGCCATAATTTTTACATTTTTTTTTAATTTTATTGAATGAAATCAAGAAATGTCGGAATAGCATCAAATTTTAGAACAAGTTAAGATTTGTTCGAATTGGTCACCTTTGACACGAATTATGGTCTTCAAACGGCCAATGAAGCCGTCACACGCTGCCCGAATGTTGCTCTGCGGTATTTTGGCTCATTCCTGGCGAAGCGCTTGCTTGAGGTGATCGACATTTTGGTATTTTTCAATGCCAACCTTGCTTTTGAAAATACTCCAGACATAATAGTCCAACAGATTGGTATCCGGAGATTTTGGTCGCCATTGTGCGCTGGAAATGAAGCGAGGAAGCTCAATTTGTAACCATTCTTGGGTGGTGCGTGTTGAGTGCGATGGTGCGGAGTCCTGTTGGAATGTCCAAAGTCTGTGGCCAAAATGTTTGCGTGCTCAAGGCTTTAATACACCCTCCAGAGTATTTTCGCGATAATATTCGGCATTTATTCTGATACCACGGTCGATAAATACGAGTGGAGAGCGACCATCGGCTGTTATGGCGGCCCACACCGCTTGAGTTTTGGTGGCCAACCGAAACACGATCATTTTGTTTGTTTACAAACTGCTGGACAACGAATGTTTCCTCGCCGGAGATACCTAAATTCGGCAGTTCACCACTTTCGGCCAAGCGAAGCATTTCTTTAGCCCTTTTGAGTCTATTTTCATTCTGTTGCGGTGTAAGTTCTTGCACTTTTTGGAATTTTAATGGCTTTACCCCGAGCTCATTTTTCAATATTTGCAGATTGGAATATTGCGTTATGCTCAGCTCACGAGCCATTTATCGGCCACTGCGACGGCGGTTTCGATCAAGTCGCTTCTTTACTTTTAGAACCACTTCTGCTGATGTTGCTGTTTTCTTCCGTCCACTTCCTTGACGTCGGGCTACGCTACCAGTATCACGGTAACGAGCTATGGTACGAGACAAAAAAAAATTATTCACATTTTAATGCTGGAGTGCTCTAACGATAGCCACTTGTGGTTTTCCAGCCAAATCACACTATCACGCTTGAATTCCATCACGAATAACTTTTTTGTCGAGAAAATTCTCACCAAAATTCTTTTGAACGCTTGTAAACAATATAATGCGCTGCCACTGGAATAATTTTAACAGCTGTCGGACGAGTGGCTTAGAAATGACAGCAGTCTGAAGTTGGTTGCAGTTTTTTCATCTCACCCTTTTGACCCTTTGTGGAGTGTCCGATATTGTCAATTTTCGCAAGCAAAATCAGATTATCCTTTTTCTGTCTGTGCAGTAAAACATTTTCTTTGAAAAGCTCGAACTTTGTGGGGGCGGTACCAGAAGTAGTGGACGGATATTGCCCATCTCCGAACTCGATCTAAGTTTGATAATATTATTACCATGTACCAAGTTAGGACCAAATCGGATACTCCCTCCGAGAGTTATCGTACGCACCAGCCAGATAGACGGACGGACGGATATCGCTAGATCGACTCCAAGTGTCCTGAAATGGATTTGGTCCAAGAGACGGCACGAGGAACGTTTTGGCCTCTCTAGCCATATGGCTAAGGGCATAAAAATTAAAAGGTCGAAAAAAGGAAGCATTAATTTTAAAAAGAACAAATGTTTAAAAATTACAACAAATCCTTAAAAATTTGTTTACCTCCCTCCAAGAGTATTGTTTTGTCATTTTTAATATTAATCTGTTTCTGTCTTCCTTTCTTTTTTTGCAGCATAAAATTGATATGGTTGCACATTTTGCTGCCCTCAAAGCTGTCGGAGAGTCATGCCGCATTCCATTGCAATATTATCACAACAATATGACGGGGACAAATGTTTTATTGGAAGCTATGGCCGATAATAATGTCTTCAAATTTGTGTACAGTTCCAGTGCCACCGTCTATGGTGAGCCACAATTTTTGCCCGTTACCGAAGAACATCCGGTAGGCAATTGCACAAGTCCTTATGGTAAAACCAAATACTTTACCGAAGAAATTCTCAAGGATTTGTGTAAATCTGATAAGGTATGAGAAATACAATATGTTTACACATTTTAATACATTCAAATATGATGCTTTTCATTTTAGCGTTGGGCCGTTGTTTCGTTACGCTACTTCAACCCGGTTGGTGCCCATCCCAGCGGCCGTATCGGTGAAGATCCCAATGGTGAGCCCAACAACCTGATGCCATACATTGCCCAAGTGGCTGTGGGCAGACGTGACTGCTTGCAGGTGTACGGTTCAGATTTCCCAACCAAAGATGGCACTGGCGTACGTGATTACATTCACATAGTAGACTTGGCCGAAGGTCATGTCAAGGCCTTGGATAAATTACGCAACATTGCTGAGACGGGCTTCTTTGCCTACAATTTGGGCACCGGCGTTGGCTATTCGGTATTGGAAATGGTGCATGCCTTCCAAAAGGCTTCGGGCAGAAATATCAACTATAAATTGGTTGATCGACGTTCCGGTGATGTGGCAACGTGTTATGCCGATGCCAGCCTTGCTGAAAAGGCTTTGGGTTGGAAGGCTACTCGTGGTGTGGATGAAATGTGTGTCGACACATGGCGCTGGCAAAGCAATAACCCCAATGGCTATGCCATAAAATGATTTACTAACTGCATTTGCTTTTATGCATTTTTTTGCTATTTCACATATTTTAAACGAAACATTCTTTAAACAAATGTATTACTTTATGTTTATATATTTTTGTTTTCCGTTGTATTTTTGTTTGTGTTATGTGTTGTGAGTGCTTCTTGCCTAATATGGAAATAATTGTGCAAATGATGATGATGATTGAGAAAAAATTATATATTTTTTTCAAATGCATCCGTAATATAGCTTTTGTTTGTTTTTGATGTTTCTTCCCTTCTTTCTTCCTTTCTGTTACTATGCGTCGCAAATATACACAAAACATAGTCATTGTTTATAAAAAGTAAACATTTTCTTTAGTATATCCGTCTTAAAATGTTTCTTCAAATGTATTTCCCAAAAAAAAAAAAACAAAATAAAAATACTGTTTTTAGTTATTAGCAAATTAAATTTTAAATCAGCTCATATTTAGTTAAATTTTTAATCAAGTAAAAGAATTGAAATCATTAATGCATTTAAGCATTTTAACTATGAAAATAATAAAAAATATATATGTATAAAAATTTACAAACATATGTGTATGATAATGATAAGAAATGTATTTATGTAACAAAAGAAAGATACTTTTGCAAAATATATTTTGTACATAAAGTATAAATTGGTTGGTATTTTTGTTTTAAATGTAAATTAGTATACCCTCAGCCATATGGCTAGAGAGCGGGTACATACCGGGTGAGATGAAAAAACTGCAACCAACTTCACCACTGCTGTCATTTCTAAGCCACTCGTCCGACAGCTGTTAAAATTATTCCAGTGATAGGTCATTACATTGTTTATAAGCATACAAAAGTATCTTGGTGAGAAGTTTGCTGACAAAAAAAGTTATTCGTAAAGGAATTCAAGCGTGATAGTGTGATTTCTTTATATTTGGCTGGAAAATCACCACAGGTGGCTATTGTTAGAGCACTCCAGCATTTAAATGCGAATTAATCTTTTGTGTCCCGTACCATCGCTCGTTACCAATTACGTGATACTGGTAGCGTAGCCCGACGTCGAAAAGTAAAGAAGCCACTTGATCGATACCCGCGTCGCAGTGGCCAAAAAATGTCTCGTGAGCTGAACATATCGCAATATTCCTTTCGCCAAATGTTGAAAAATAAGCTCGGGGTAATGTCATTGAAACACCAAAAAGTACAAGAATTTACACCGCATCAGAAAGAAAATAGACTCAAAAGAGTTGCATCGCTTGGCCGAAAGTGGTGAACTGCCGAATTAGGTTTTCTCCGATGAGAAAACATTCGTTGTCCAGCAGTTTTTAAACAAACAAAATGATCGTGTTTACTTGCCAAAGAGGTCAGCTGAAAATGTGCATCTTCGGTTGGCCACCAGAACGCAAGCGTCGGCCATGGTAATGTTGTGGGCCGCCATAACAGCCGATGGTCGCTCTCCGCTCGTATTAATCGATCGTGGCATCAGAATAAATGCCCAATATATTCTGGAGGAGGTGGCACACAAACATTTTGGTCGCAGACCTTGGACATTCCAACAGGACTCAGCACGCACCACCCAAGAATAGTTACAAAATGAGGTTCCTCGCTTCATTTCCAGCGCACAATGGCCAACAAAATCTCCGGATACCAATTTTGGGCCAAAATACTGCAGAGCAATATTCTAGCAGCGCGTTACAGTTTCATTGGCCGTTTAAAGGCCATAATTCCTTGTTCGATTTTGAAGTCAGATATCTGATACTGCAGTGGTTAGTCATGATGACTTCCACAATCCTTAGATCAGACCTACTAAGTGATAGAACGGAGCTTTTTCTTCTCAGCAAAATTATCGGCCAGATGGCCTTAGATACCCTACAGCCGGTCTCTTCTTCCAGCTTCTTCGATAAGAGTTGTTTTGAAGCATCTGACATAATAGCTTATTGCTTAATAATTTCCCGTCGTGGAAAAAACTATTTTTTCTGTTTATCTTTCCTCTTTAATATAGGACCAGCAGGACTCCGAGTGGAGCAGTTGTCTTAATTGCACATGCTTAAACCTAATCTCCAAGATATCGGTCACAACATTATCAACTCGTCTAATTAAAAATTTAAAGGGCGAATTCCTCCTGTCCAATCCGCCTCTTTTTAAAACTAGTATCTAGTGCCGAATTAGAATTGAGTTACCTAGTCTACAACTGGTTCCTATGTTTGAACAGTTGACTTTTTCTACATGGTTTTTAAAAATATAATATTATTGTTTGACATGGACTGTCTTTCTCACTTATACAATTTCTTACACTTCTGTATGTTGGGCTTATTAGGCAGGAAGACTTATTGCAACATGTACTGTTCAAGATAGGGAAAACATACTTGAATTTATCAAAAGTGTGTGTGTGTTGTAATCTTTGTCACTCTGAACTTCTTTGATTCCTACAAAGATCATGCCTCAGATCTTTTCCCTACGTTCATGGAAATACTAAAATCACATATATTTAAGAGAGCAATAAACCATTTTCCCTTTTGTTGGAATATAGTATTCTAATTTATTTTACAAACACGAACTAAATTATAAAATGTACATGTACCTAACGAAAATAAAGGTATGTTTACAACACTAGGTACCACTTATTACAATACAATATGAAAACCTTAAGATAAAAGATACTTTCGACCATATAGCTGTGCCTTTTTCTCGAATGTTGGTGACTTAATGGGAGTGTTGATTTTATAAAAGGAATTCATGGAATACTTAACATACGTTTCATACATTTCGTTAAAGAAATTCTTGATGCCCTCATCATTTTTCTGGTCGTGGACGATAATGAAACGTATCTGACTGGCTGTAACAAATGCCGAGACGAACCATTGATTGAATCGATCAATCGATTTTAAATACATATTGGGTGTCTTCCACTTGTGTTCGTCCACCAAATCAAGAGCAGCATGCGCGATAAATTGGCTGAGATGACGATGATCCTCTTTCTGGAATGATATGAAGACATATTAACGATGATGAATTAGATTAGGGGAGTATGGTCTGTTCCGAAACATGCAAGAATCTACTAGTTTTGCATTTCTTTTCGATATCATAAAGAGAATATCGGTTATCGTAGTAAAAACATTTACATTCTTGCAGTAGTTCTGGAACAGATTGGATGCCAAAGAATTCCATACCCTCATCTCTTTGCTCACTGCTGGGAATTCCATTTCAAATATGGGATTGTCTTGATGACCCACAATCACGAAATAGAATGTGGGCATTTTGATTGTAAGCCAGGAACTGCGTCAATTGGATTTCCTTAGATATGTTGCAATCGGGAGCAGCTCCTCCGTGTTCTCCAATGTTTTATTTTCGTCTAATTGTAGGGACCAATAGACTGAAAGGCGACACTATGTAGGAATCAATAGATTGAAAAACGACTTTGAGGCGACACTGTAGAGATCAACAGATTGAAAACAGACACTATGTAGGGATCAATAGATTGAAAAGCGAAACTCTGCTGTTAGCTAATAAAACAGTTGTTATAGGGAAGTGGTGTAATTATAGCAATTATGTGGATACCAAGTACTTGACACTTGCTAAAATATAAAACAATAGAATTATAGGAGTTACTGGACGAACATATATATAGGCCATAATTTAAGCTTTATTAAATTGAACATTTCGGTACAAACGACAAAATATCGATTGTTCGCATCGAACACCAGATGTTTCTACCAAAATTTTCATTTATTTTTCAATCTAAAGCCAGTAAAGGAAGGCCAAAATCGGGCTTCGCCGACTTTATAATACCATACATCACTTTTCATATATAGTAGAGTTACATATAACAAATAAACGGGGAATTTATAAGAATTAACAAGATATATATGGGTAGCTATATCCAAATCTGAACCGATCTCTATAAAATTGAGCAGAGAAATTTATATGCTGTATCTGATATTTGACACAAAATATCTTTGTTGTGGAGAGTATTTTAAGGGTGTGAGGGAGTAAAATACAAAATCGAAAGAAACATATATATGGGACCTATAGCTACAACCGATTTTCACCAAATTTTATACACCTTCTTCCAGGATAAATTCGTTAGTATGTTCCAAAAATCCATTAAATTCGGGTTTATATAAACCATTTGGTGACCAAAAAACTGAAATCGAGTTAAGATATATAGCTATATCCAAATTTGAACCAATATCGATAAAATTTGGCAAAAGTATTTCTGAGATGTATTTGATAAATTTCTCCGAGTATCGTTGTTATGGAGTGCACACTACGGCTGTGGAGGAGAAATTTAACAAATCGGATGAAAAATATATTTGGTAGCTAGAGTCTGAACCGATTTCGATCAAATTTGAAACATTTAGGGTCTTTTTGGTTATATGTGCAAAATTCCATACTAATTCGAAGATATATATGGGAGCTATATCTAAATTTTGACCGATTATCTCCAATTTCCTTGGGCAAAACAAACGATTTGTGCAAAATATCATTTCGATCGGACAATAAATGCGACCTGTACTTTGTTTACAAACATACATTGACAGGCGGACATGCATAAATCGTCTAAAAATGTGATTCTATGCAGATCATCAAAAGAAACAATGGGGGGTAACTCGCTTCCTTCTCTATGTTACAAACAAATGCACAAAGACCACAGTGTGGTATAGGGTATAATGAGCTTAAAAACAAATTTCTATTTTTTTCGATATTAAATATTAGAATCTGGGCCCTGCAAATTTTAAACGGTAAAATTAAGTAACAAATATGTTTTTTTATTTTTTTATTACACAGTATTACAAATAGGAAAGGCAAGTAAAATCGCTATATATATTATTTATGTCGATTTTGTGAACAACATCTAAATAAAAAAAACATGCATACACAATATAATTAAATAAATACTTCTTTGTACATAGAGAGATTGCAAAATATAATAATAATTACACATTATTGCCTAAAACATAAACATTTTCTTAATTAAAATTATATAATATAATCGATTTTATTTTGATGTTGAACTTGGCGGTTCATAGTCGCCGTTATTGGGAGATGATAGGCCAACTTTTTCCATAAGTTCCGTTAGTTTTTGTGCCTTACGATCCTCATTGTGGGCTATGACGGTACACAGATGTTCTGTCAGCAGTTCCTTTTTCTCTGAGGCATTATGCAAATCCATTTTGGCTTTCAGAAATTGTGCCTCAATTTTTAAATAATTTTTTCTGCAATTAAATATTATTGAATTAAAAATTAGTTATTAATTATTTTTTCGATTTATGAGCCGGCAAATACTTACTCAATATTGGAGAAATGTATGCATGCCGCTTCGATTTGTTTCCTTAGTACGGCCACATCAACTGCCAGATCGTTGTCCAATTTGGAAAGCTCTGCCTTTATTTCTGCAATTTTTCGAGCTTCTGCAGCGGTTTTTTGGGAACTATAAATATAAGTGAATGATATAGAAATAAAAAGTTACTCTATCTTATTTTACTACAAACGAGAATTAACAATATACAAAATACTAAACGAAAATAATTCTTTTTGATTGCCTATAAAAATTTGCTATAAAAATTATATGTAGGCGTTTCACATTCGAATAAACAGCGGGTTCTCCCCTAGCTTATTTTACTTTTCCATTTTCACAAATTTCATATCAAATTAATAGTAGAATGGGGGATTAAACAACCTCAAGTTAAGGTTCTCAAACTGATAACATAATATTTGTTTATCGAAAATAGTTCGGGGACTTTTTCATAATGTTTCTGTACTTACTGTTGTTCAATGATTTTGTAGAGCATATCTTTTTTCTGGCGATTTTGTTCTTCAATCATTTTTCGATGAGTCTCGAAATCTTTCAATGATATTCCCCTAAAAGGCGATTGCACATTCAACGAACTAGGTGGGACAAAGGCATCATTGGTTTTCTCATCTGCCGCGGAGGGTAAAATGGACTCATCATCATCCATGCTATTGGAACACGTTGAAGATATTTTGCTTTCATCTTCCAAGTTCAATTTCAATATGGAAGATGTATTAGATGTTTGTTGCTGTTGTTGTTGTGAATCTAACTCTTTGTGAGTATATGGCTGGCCAGCAGCAATATTCGGACGTGACGTTGTCAATGTTGGTGTTCTTGCCATGGTGTTAGTAGCTGGTGTTTTTGATGTCGTCGTCGTTGTTTCGTTTGACTGCTGTTGTGATTTCTCTGGCGGTTTGTAGAATAAAGCTTCTTCTATCGACTTAGAAAGACTGCTGTCCAGATTTATTTCCTCCATGGAGTCAATTGTGTCCATTTGCTGAATTTTATCTGCTAGATTCTTTTTATTTGCTGCCATATTACCTTGCATTTTCTGTAGGCGATTGATTTCACTTTTGTCTGGCATACGTCTGATGCCACCGTGTCCACGAAATGTTGCTGGTTTAACTAGAATCAGAAAATATATCCATAATAAGAGATTCAACTTAGAACTTGAATAGACAACTTTGTCAACATTTATCTTAGGGGCAACATCGCAACATCATGTAAATTTTGCCTCTGTTCCAAATACTCACTGCCATTGTCAATTGGAAGTTTTTTATTCTTTTGGCCAGAAACACGATTTATCTCATCTTGACTAAATCCATTGAATTTATCGGACATTTTTGTTTAATTGTGCCACTAGTACTTGCGAGAATTACACTTTTTCTTTTATAAAAAAAAAAACACTAAAACTAGAACGTTGTATACATGTATGCACAATTAATTAAAAATACAAACAAACGAGCGAAAGCAACATACTAAAGAATATACTGGATATAGGAGGAGAGACAGTGAGAGAGCTTAGATTGTAAACGTCAAATTGTGCATGATCACTCAGTGTTGCCAACTATCTGTGGGAGTAATCGTAGATAATATTTCGATGACTTGCAGAGATATAAATCGAAACCAGTAAGGAAAGCTCAAAAGTCGGGCGGGGCCGACTATATGATACCCTACACCACTATGCATATTTATTAGAGCTCTCGTAAAAAGGTTTATACAGGACATTTCAGAGCTCTATGAGATATTTGGTACAAAATCAAAATCTATCAAATTCTATCGTGCATTTTACGAACTATAGCTATCTCTGAACCGGGTTTCTCCAAATTTGACGTATTTGCTTCTAGACTAAATTCGGTCTTATGTACGAAAATTCAGGTGATTTGGGCTGATATTGACCATTTAGTGCACAATTAACCTGAAATCGATAGAATAATGTGAAGAGTATGCTATGCTATGCTATGCTATATCCAAATCTGAACAGATTTTGATAAAATTAAAATCGACTATTTTTGGGCTTTATCTGATATTTGATATTTGATAAGATGTATATGGGAGGCCAATCCAAATCGAAACAGATTTTAATAAAATTAAAATCAACCATTTTTGGGCTTTATCTGATATCTGGTACCAAATATCATTCCTGTGGAGTTCATATTACGAATGTGAGGGACCTAAAGGCCAAATCGGATGAAAGATACATATGGGAGCTATAGCTATATCTGAACCGATTTTTACTAAAATTGGTGTACTTGCTTCTAAGCTGGTTTCGGTCGGATTTGCCAAAATTGACGCTATTACGGCCATTTGGTGGTCAATCACCCGAAATCGGATGAAGATATATATGGGAGCTATATCCAAATCTGAACCGATTTCGATGAAATTAAAAACAGCTATTCCTGTGCTCCATCTAATACCTGGTACCAAATATCACGGTTGTGGAGTGAATATTACGAATGTAAGCCATTTGGGCTGATATTGGCCATTTCATGCACAATTAACACGAAATCGGATGAAACATATATATGGTTGCTATATCTATACCTGAACCGATTTTCACTAAATTTGATTTACTTGCTTCTCGGTTGAATTTAGTCCGATGTACTAAAATTCAGTCCATTTGGACTTATATCGGCCATTTGGTGCACAATTAACCCGAAATCGGATAAAGATATATATGGGAGCTATATCCAAATCTGAACCGATTTCGATAAAATTACAAACAGCTATTTCTGGGCTGTTTCTTATATCTGGTACCAAATATCATTCTTGTGGAGTGCATATTACGAATGTGAGAGGCTTAAACACCAAATCGGATAAAACATATATATGGGAGCTATAGCTGTTTCTGAACCGATTTTCTCCAAATTTGATATACTTGCTTCTAGGCCGAACTCGGTTGGGTGTGCCAAAATTCAGGTAATTTGGACTGATAGTGGACATTTGGTGCACATTTAACCCGAAATCGGATGAATATATATATGGGAGCTATAGCTGTTTCTGAACCGATTTTCTCCAAATTTGTTGTATTTGCTTTAAGGCTAATCTCGGTCACATGTGCCAAAATTCGGGCCATTTGGGCTGATATTGGCCATTTGGTGGTCAATTAACCCGAAATCGGATGAAGATATATATGGGAGCTATATCCAAATCTGAACCGATTTCGATAAAATTTGAAACAGCTATTTCTGTGCTCCATCTAATACCTGGTACCAAATATCACGGTTGTGGAGTGCATAGTAGGAATGTGAGGGACTTAAAGATCAAATCGGATGAAAGATATATATGGGAGCTATAGCTATATCTGAACCGATTTTCTCCAAATTTGATATACTTGCTTCTAGGCCGAACTCGGTTGGGTGTGCCAAAATTCAGGTAATTTGGACTGATATTGGATATTTGGTGCACATTTAACCCGAAATCGGATGAAGATATATATGGGAGCTATATCTAAATTTGATCCGATTCTCACCAATTTCAATAGGGTTCGTCCTTGGGCCAAAAAAATGTTGTTTGGAAAATTTCATCTCAATCGGATAATAAATGCGACCTGCATTTTGTTCACAAGAATACATGGACAGACGGACGGACGGACGGACGGACGGACGGACGGACGGACGGACAGACGGACTGACATGCATAAATCGACTCAGAAAGTGATTCTATGAAGGTTCTCAAAAGTAACTATGGGTCTATCTCGTTTCCTTCTCCATGTTACAAACAAATGCACAAAGACATAATACCCTTACCACTATGTGGTGTAGGGTATAAAAAACAAAAGGTGGTGGATTTCTCTGACTTTCTTTACCGTTACTGTCAAATTTAAAGCAAGATTTAAATTTATTAAGGTAAATTAATCAAAACTTCAGTGGGGGAGATATATTATAGGAGTGTTTAATAAGATCTCGCAAATTCCACAAGTTATTAGTTTCAAATGTTTATTTAAAATGGTATTTAATATTTTGTATTTAAAAATTTCTTTGTCCGGGAACATTAGTAAGCAACATGGGAACGTTCGAAAAATGATACTCAGAAAGCCCATCTGACTATCAATGTTGCTGGATTAAGCAATTAATCTTAATAGTGTAGGTTAATCAGGATACAATTTTGTATCTAAACGCGCTATGACAGATTATAACGAGTTTGACCACCAATCAATTTGTGACTTTTTTATTCCAATTGTATTAACATCTATTATTTATCTATTTACTAAATTATACAATAGAAATGTTGAGAAATTTTCGAACAAACTTGCTTTTTACTAGACCTAATTTCAAGGCCGAATATATACATTAACACATTTATGGGTATATTAATATAATTAATAGTAACAAGAATCTGCATTCATTTTAATATTTTTATTTACTGTTTCTTGGCTTTTACTAATGTTGTTATTTGTAATTCCTGGCGTAATTCATTGACATCTTGTTCCCAACGTTCCTCCCAGAAAACAGACATCAAAGGTTTGGCCTCTTTGCCATTCTTAATGGCCCAGGGTAAATATGTGGATAGGTATTGCTTGCGTTGTCTGGAATAACAAAAACACATTTATAAAGAATCACCACCTTCTTAAAAAAATTAAACTACATACTTTGGTCGCAAACGCAAAGCACCGAAAACGGCACCACCATAACACATCGGCAGACCCGTATTCAAAGCCTCCACCCATTTAACAGCAACTTCGCCCAACATATTTGTTGGCATATCGAGTATGGCATGAACCAAGTCGTGGCATTCTCGATATCTGGTCATAATATAGGCCAATTCGGGGTCATCCATGAAACGAACTTCCATGCGAGAGTCAGGAGTGACTTGCTGTTTTTTAAAAAGAAGAAGAATATTAAGTTGAAGCTTTGAATTGTTTGTTTACTCACATTGTCATCCAAAAACTGTACATATGCCCTTCCGAATGTGTTGTCCGGCAACTGACGCAATCTCTCGAGATTAACTGTGCGCGTATTGATACGTGGCTTCTGTTGCAATATACGTTGACCTTCATCGCTGGCTCTCATAGTGTGCAAAATTTGTTGCAATGCATGTTCACCTGTTGTTTCGCCCAAACAGGCGATCATATCATGTCTAGTAGCAAATGTCAATGGATATTAGGGTTGGGTGGAAAACAAAGTCACTGATCTTTTACCTTCGTGGATCCACCAAAGCTGCAATGGAAGAGCCAGCTCCCAGCAATATCTTCTGAAACGAGTTCATTTCGATGCGATTCTCCATAAATTCCTTTGTAAATGCATCCCATTGTTGCCCATCGTGTTCGGTGTGTTCAATATTTTGCTCTGTCTTGGCCAATGATGTGGCAATGGTGCGAGAAAATTGTTGATTTTTTCCGTTTAAAATTCTCAGAAATGTTAGGGGAAAGGCTCTCGGCAACATTATGATGGACTAGAATATAGATTATTAGAAAAAGAATTTAAATAAAATTAGGCTTGGTCATGGTGAATATAGGCGAAAATACATCGAACGCTTTTTTGACTGGGCTAAGTCATCGGCTGGCTTCTTCGTAGAATAACATAGGAGTTTTAGGTTGACTTAGTCCGAAGAAGCCAGTCGATGACTTACTCTCAGCTTAAAGGTCGGAATACATAAAGCGCTTATTTGGCTTGGTCTATCTAAAACTACTTTGTTCCTCTACGAAGAAACCAGCCGACGCACAGAGGGGTGAAATCACAAAACACGGAGATTAATTGAAAAACAAGTAAAAAAGCAGTAAGTTCGACCGGGCCGAACTTTGAATACCCTCCACCATTTGGAACGAATTAGAAAATTTTCAAAAAAAAAAAATCCTTTAAAAATTATTTTAAAATCTTTAAAATATCTAATATAGGAAGGTGCCGATATGGGGGGATATACGATATTGTGGACCTATAAAGACAAATCTATGTCTGCGTGTAAAGTACTCACAAGATATCGTGGACCGTTATAGCCCATCTTTGAACTTGACCTGCCTGCAGACAAAAGAGAGATCTGTGCAAAATTTTAGCTTCCTATCTTAATTCGTTTAGACTGTAGCATGATTACAACAGACGGACAGGGCTAAATCGTCTTAGAATTTTACGCTGATCAAGAATATATATATACTTTGTTGGGTCTAAAATGATTATTTCGATGAGTTACAAATGGAATGACGAACTTAATATACCCTCCATACTTTTTTTGGTGGAGTGTATAATAAAACTCGTAATTTGGAATAAATGTTTTTAAACTATTATTAACTATTAACTTTGTCATTCCGTTTGTAACTCCTCGAAATACTCATGTCAGACCCAACAAAGTATATATATTCTTGATCAGTGTAAAGTCGATTTAGCCATGTCTGTTGTAATCACGCTATCTTTCGAACGAATAGAGATAGAAGGCTAAAAATTAGCGACATTATTCACCGAAATTGCTTCAACTTTGGTATTTGAAGTTCGAAATGGATACGACAGCCTATGACAGAAAATTATTTGGGCAGGTCCAACTCTTCGTATAGCCCCCATATAACGGTACCTCCCGATATTCGGTATTGTGATGATTTTAACGACATTATTCACCGGGATTGTTTTAAATTTGGTATTTGAAGTTCGTAATGAATACTACAGCATAAGGCAGAAATTTGGCGGTGCAGGTCCACGTCTTCGTATAGGCCCCATATATCAGTACCTTTCATATTCGGTATTTTGACGAGTTTAGGTACAATACCCACTGAAATTGTTTGAGATATCGTATTTGACGTTAGTAATGGATGCTATAGCCTGTGACAGAAAATTGTCTATGCTGGTCCAGGTCTTCGCACAGCTCCGATATAACGGTACCTCCCTATATACGATATTTTGATGATTTAACTACATTATTCACCGTTTATTTCAAGTTTCGAATTTAAATATGACAATGGCTAATGGCAAACAATGCCTATGTAGGTCCACGTCGTATAGACCCCAATATGACGGCTATATTCGGTATTTTTAACATTTTAACAGAATTTTTTAAGGATTTTATTTTTTTAAATTTGCAAATTCGTTCCAAATGGTGGAGGGTATTCAAAGATCGGCCCGGCCAAACTTACTGCTTCTTAACTTGTTTGAATTATTTTAATTAGTTTTTTTTCTCATCAAAAGAGATCATTTTAAATTTAAAACTTCAAATACAGGTAGTTATTAGTGTTTTAAAATAAAAAAGTTTTAAAAATAATGATGTAAAAATATTTTAAAAAATAATTCAAAATATTACCATATTTTAAAAATTAATTCAAAATATTACCATATTTTCGCCATATCCGAAAAGTTCTAAAAAAATAATATCGAGAAGGTTTTAAAATTTTTATTGTGTATTTTAGAATGAAATGTCATATTTAAAAATGGTGAAAATAGTCCACTGATTTTGCGATTAATGTACTTTGATCTAGTACTCTGTTTTATTTTTTTTTTGTTGCCCTTTCTAAATAGGTTTCTCTTGCGTTTTTATCTTGTTATTAACTGGAATTTTAAACAATATATAAAAATATTCCAGTCTCTTTAAAAAATCAGTGGTGAGGTTACTTGCCTCACCCTCAATTTTAACTGATGATCCAATTAAAGACAATGAGAGAGATTTAAGGGAGGATGATAAGTATGATTTCTTAAATGTCAGTCATATATATTTTTTTCTAAATATTTTAATAAGGTTATAGTCTATTTCAGATAGGGAGGCTTAGGCTTAATTTCCAGCCAGTTTTGTATATTTATATTTTTTTATAATTATTCCTTTCTCATAAAATATGTAGTCTTTTTGTCTTCAGATTTCAGAAGGTTTTGCAAAGGATAAATTATTTTTTCTGGCTTTACTCAAATGTCGGATTTATACAGGCAATTTTTGTAATTTTTCCATCCATCCATTTGAAAACAAGATACCAAATAACACGTTTGTAAAAAACTCTGTCTGAAACCTTCAAAATACCTAATATTGGGAAGTACCTTATATATATATTGTAGGGAGAAATTCCCAAAATACCTACAATTTGTAAGTGCCGTTATATATGGTCAATACTTAATAGTGGATTTATCTTCACAAAATTTAGCAGGGAAAGGTTTTGTCCGCTCAGAACTCAAGATTTAAAAATACTCATGATTGGGTTTGAAATTGTGGCCGAAACCTTCAAAATACCAAAAAATCAGGAAGTATCGCTATATGGGAAGCTTACCGAAACGTGGAACGATATGTATATTTTTAATGCCAAACAAATAACAGGTAATTTTAATCTCTGAGCAAAATTTCAGAGCAATATAATGCTAATTTCGTTTTTATTTTTAAAACGTGTAAAATTGATGGTGCTACCTTTTTTTTAATTCTTTTACTGGAAGTCATCTGTGAACACAAAAATTCTTCAAAAAGGAGAGCGATTTGAGAAGGAAATGTTGACAGTTCTTTCACTGAGAGTTTGCACATTCTTTCTTCATGCAATCACTCGTAACTCTTTTTCTTCTCCTTCCGGTGATTTATATTAGGGTAAGCAATTTCAAAATACCTTTCATTGGCCATAATGTTATGTTACTCGATAATTTATACCGAACAAATTTTGCTAACTCTCAGTAACTCAAATGTCAAAATTACACTGATTACTATCTCTCGATTACTCGGCTATCTAGTTTAAACATTAATGTGGGGTTTATAGTTAATTCCATTGTAAACAACTGTCATAATACCGTACAGCGAGACTGTAAATACAAACTTCTCACATAGAGTCATGTCTGTCCGCATAGCCACAAACATTTATAAGTGCTTCTCTATAAAATACCAACACTTGAAAGTTCTCAGTAATAACGTCTGCCGGTATGTATGTATGTATGCATGTACATAGGTACTACCGCTATTGATTGAAACACCAATTAATTTGCCTTAGCGCAAAAACCAAAAAAACAATACAAATCATTTCTACCTTGAAGGCATCGAGGTAGTTTTGTTTGTCTATTCTGAATGTTTGTTTTTATGATGAGTGTTATGACGAAATATCCATCCACCCAGCAACCGGTTGTCTTTCTTAGGTGGTGGTACTTAAGACCAAGAGTTTACCTACAAAACAAATTCTTTAGATATGACAGAATTGAATGGATTACATACATATATGTATATATACACAATTATGTACATATGTAAGAATTTAAAGTGACCTCAGCAATTTTGAGTAAACTTTAGTATAGGAGTACTTTTTGTACTCGAATCGGCGGAAGGTCACCGTTAACAGCTGTGGGGTGTTGGTGAATTATGAAAATTCTGTGATTGGTTAATGCTTATGTGATTCCAATAGTATTCAAATGAATTGAGCTTCTAAAACGCAAGCCTAAAACCTTCTTACCAATAAGCCGTTGGGAACCGGGAACATCCCTGCCACTCCAAGCAGCCAATACAAAATAACAAAAAATAATTTTCTTTAACGACACTAATACTAATAATATAAGATTGTACCTTGTTTTTTTTTTAAGGAAACTCAGTATAGAATTAAGAATATTTATATTTATATGCATTTTTTCTAAATTATTCTTTTGACAACATCTCATTATCAAAATGTTTATTTATAAATCCAAATCATCAAAATTAGTATCTAAGGTAACGGTTATGACTATGGTGTTATGGTATGTCACATAATCAATTACATTAGGTTCGTTCGTTTACTTTCCCAGTAACATTTACTCAGTAAGAAGTTACAGAGGAAAAAATACGATTTCTTCTCTCTCTCTCTCTTTCGAGAAAAAATTACAAAAAGTAAACGCACAACATTTTGCAAAACATTTCTAATAATATAGCTGATTGATCAAAACAAATTTGGCGCAAATCTTAACAGCAGATATACACGGTGAGATAAAAAAACTGCAACAAAGTCAAAAGCCATAATTTTTACATTTCTTTTTTAATTTTATTGAATGAAAACAAAAAAATGTCGGAAATAGCATCAAATTTTAGAATAAATTTAGATTTGTTCGAATTGGTCACCTTTGACACGAATTATGGCTTTCAAACGGCCAATGAAACCGCCACACGCTGTCCGAATGTTGTTCTGCGGTATTTTGGCCCATTCCCCGCGAAGCGTTTACTTGAGGTGATCGGCACTTTGGTATTTTTTAGTGTCAACCTTGCTTTCCAAAATACTACAGACACAATAGTCCAACGGATTGGTATCCGGAGATTTTGGTGGTCATTGTGCGCTGGAAATGAAGAGAGCAACCTCATTTTGTAACCATGCTGAGTGTGATGGTGCTGAGTCCTGTTGAAATGTCCAAGGTCTGTGGCCAAAATGTTTGCGTGCCCGAGGCTTTAATACACTCTCCAGAATATTTTCGCGATAATATTCGGTATTTATTCTGATGCCACGGTCGATTAACACGAGCGATTATCGGCTGTTATGGCGGCCCACACCATCACCATGGCCA